TCTTAATTTATTATTTATACGCTTTAAGAACGGAGTATAAAGAAATTAGTTTAAACTTCCAAATTTAAGTCCAATATACAGTTTATAAGCTGTAGTTAATATTCATGTTAAATACCTTTGAACTGCTTTTACAGTTTTGTGTTGTGTTAATTTGCTTTATGTTCAAATTATTCTTAAGCTTGGCTGTTATTAGTGATTTTATTGCTAATTCTCGTAATTATCAATTTGGATACATTGTTTCACTTTATATTAATCATTATATTCTTGATTATAACTGAATTTTATTATTATTATTATCATTATAATTATAACACCCATACCATGATTAAAACAGAGGCTCTGAGTGGTGCTTCCGTTATTAGTCTTCCAGTTTAAACTTTCCACAGATGGTCCTCGTTCTGTACTTTCTAGAACATTGAGTATACTTCTGTTACAAAATTTTATGAAGTATATCGATTATGTATTATGTTCTCCAGGTTCAATCGTTCAGAGTATAGTCTTACAGTGAAACGGAATCGTGTGAAATTGGGATATATTAATGGAAATTGGTGTTTTATGTATTGTAGTGTTAAAAGAAATACCACGGTTCATATTAGACGTCCCATTTATTTGAACATTATCAAATTATTTTAAAATTGGGTTGGTTCGGTTACGCTAGGTTAAGTTACGTTAGTGAAGTTAGTACTCATTCTATTCATTTGGAGTTTGTTTTATGCTTATCTACACGACCGTTATTACATACACTGTACACATCAGTTTGAATTTAAAAAAATCTGAAATATATTGATATCTTCATTATGCTGCCATTATCCCCAAAAATACCCCACTAAGTGTATTAATGGGTATATTGGTGGACTATCATCTGGGAGAAGCCGAACAGCGAACACTACGAGAAGCGACGAGAGACCACAGTACTATAACACGTCACACCACACATCTCAAAGTTCGGAGTTCATTAACACCCGGACCATAAACTAAACCATGCAATCTATAGTTTAATTAAATCTATCTCCAGCATGACCTAAATTAGTCTAACTCAACCATATCCGCGGTTTGAGATACATACGAACATTTACGGCTATATGGGTTTAAGTGCAACAGTAACTTTGGCACTATTCATCATTTAGTTGTGGTATTGATATTAAAAAAAATTCTGCTACACCATAGTTAATATCACGTACAAATGTTACACTGAAACTTTTAACGATGTTGAATATATCTTTAACCATTAACCAGCATTAACCATCCATGCGACCATTAATTTCCTTTTTTTTTTCTGTATATTGTCTTAACTAATAATAATATTTAAGCACCAAACAACTTACAAATGTTACTATTTGCATTAAGAAATTTTGTTTCATCAACACCTAACAACATCTATTGAAAATTATATGAGAACTATTGCTCACATAATACTGTATAAAAAGATCAAAACGTCAGACTTACGCCAGAACATAGTAAGGTAGAGAATATTTACTTAGGTCCTGTACTGTACCTTCTCTACTGTATGTATCTAATTATAAGAAACTCCCTGTAATGATTTTTTTACGCAATTTACTTCAACTTAAGTGAACAAGTTGGATGTATTCTTATATCTCTAGATGTGAGGAATATTGACCGTATCGTATAAAGACTTACACCCCTGTAAGGCAGGGTTAAGGCGAGGCTGCTTCAGGACAAGGTATAGTCGCCGCCGCTCAACAAGTGCCCCCTGTCTGCGCTCAACACTCACCCAAAGCGAAAATCTTATTATTCACATGAAATCCCAATGAACCCAAACGAAAGGAAATTCTACTCTGAAATTCATAATTGGCATGAAGTGTTGAAATTCGACTTACTGTACAGTATACATACAGTATATAAATAAACTTATTATAGGCATAGATGAAAAAATTTATATATATATATATATATATATATATATATATATATATATATATATATATATATATGTGTGTGTGTGTGTGTGTGTCTGTGTGTGTGTATGTGTGTGTATGAAAACAAAGGATTAACAGACAAAATATATAGCTAGGTATAATCTAGAAAAATGTAATTTTATCTAATATAATGTATTTCTGTGGCTCAACAACTCACTACGGTCTAAAATATGTTCACAAAATCAATGATGTACTAATAACATATTAAAACATAATGAGGTAAATCCATATAGTCTGACTTCATAACAGAACATAACATTTTATAATGGAAATATTCATGGATGTTACTGCATTATATTGTTAAAATGAACTTGTTACTTTGGTAATAATTCATTTTGTGATTGATATGAAGAATTCCAAGAAAATGATGAGCCAGATATGAGTACCACATACCAATTCAAATTTCAGAAACATCCCATTTTATTTACAAAATAACTAAATCTATATAACATACAGTAGTTGTTGAATTTGGGAGAGCAGCAACCGTCCAAGAGTCTCTCATTAGCACTGTCTCGATGCGCCTGTGAGTTACAGTGTCTACACGTGACTTAGAAGAATATATATATATATATATAAGGTTTTCCCTCAGCTAGTGCACTTGGCGACCTAACAAGCCGTGATATGAACACTCACACATAAGTAGATTCATTGTTCCCCCCGCCGTTAAGTCCTTTTGTCTGCAGGATAACGTATTGTACTCATCGTCAGTCACTCGGCATGTAAACACACTACTTAAACTAATAAAATCAGCAGTTACCTTAAGGTGGATTTCTACATCTCATGAAAATCAGACTTAGTTTCTCTTTAATTGTTTATATATATATATATATACATATATATATATATATATATATATATATATATATATATATATATATATATATATATATATATATATATATATATATATATATAAACACTGTACTAATTATTAATATTATTATTGGCAGTAGCAATAGTACCCAAATACCAAAATTATCAATAATTATATAAAAGGATTAATAATTCCATGCCATATATTTTATATACTTGACACACGGATTAAAACAAGTCTAATTATTAACTTGCGATTATTTATAACTTAAAGTTTTAATTATACTATACAATAGTTCTATTATTTAGCTTCACATTTAAAAAGTGTACTACCACTACCGACAACCATCATAAAAAGTAAAAAATATTCCTCTCAAGCGGAGACTGACTGGCCTGGGGAAAACAAAAAACAAATAAAAATCAATTTCTGTTAAGTTTAAACAATCTACTATAATCTTGTGATGCAGTAAGAGGACACAGTAAATGGTTAGATGAAAGAAAATGTCCTTGATGATGGCAAAACTCTACAATGACAACGAGAACTTGGAACGCATCTCATCTTACTTTTCTTTAAGGTATCTGATATGCAAATTTTTCTTTTTATGGGATACAGTATTATTATCTTATTACCCGTTTGTTTTTCTTTGTATTTACATTCCATGTTGACAGTAGCTTATGGGTTTCATAAGCCTACCGTGTCATTCAACATAATTGGAACATCATAGCGGAGATTAAGGCACCATACATGATTTCCAAACGCAGATTAATATATAATGATCGTCGCATTCCATGACCATGGCGCTCCATAACTGCAAGGCGAATATTACCACTTAATAAAAATTATTCAATCCGTTTACAATAACCACTTCCAAGCCATGTTTTTTCCTATAAATTCTTTAACTATTAACTAGGTTCTCTCCTGGTGACTCTTCAATAAATGAGTACAGTATACCATCGGGCGCGCTTGTAGGTAGTGGGATAACCTATATGGGTGTATTACGCTCCTGGGGAGGGTGAGGGGTGACACACCACCTGCTGTATGTACCACCTGTCTGGTAAGAGAGAAAGAATACTGCAACATTTTTGATGTGCCCCAGAAAACTGTCACTATGCGTCCGAATTTCTTGATCCCCGTGCATTAAGTTTTATACAATATTATTAATGGCTGTATTGTATTAACTTAAAAGAGAGTCATATTAATAATGCTGTCTGTTCAACCTTTGTTATACTCCACGATACATTCTCTTATATACGGTTATCATTTTTAGGCTGAATAATAAAACTTTGAATCTGTAAAAAAAAAAAAATCCTGAAGGGATGCGTCAGGCCATAGCAGCTGTTTAATGAAGAGTGGCCGACGCCTGCATTGAGTGCGAGTGTCACCCTAAGAAACTTACTGTACGTGGACTTCATCTATTACCTAAGCAATGTGCAGTACTTATACAGATTTTTAAAAACATAATTTCTTAATCTGATTTTGAATAGTTCAAGGAAGCCTATTACTTATCCCCTGCCGGACACAGCTTATTGTTCCCTTCCTGTAGTAAATAGGTAACCTTATAGTACTCCCTGCAGCTGTGCCTGGTTCACTAATCAATCTCTACAGTGAATATTAACATGTTCCTGTTGTGTGTAATAATCTGGTTAGGTTATTGTATTCTGCCGGTGTAATAATTGGGATCGACAATTAATCTCTGCCCCGAGTAACAACTGGACAAGCCTATTACTTTTATCTACTGGGAGTGTCTTGGGATGACCTATTACTTATTTCGGTCCCTAAGTAGAAATTGGAATTATTCCATCGCTCACAGTATTAATGCCACTGGCAAAGGTTTATTTCTATATACTATGATTTTAGGAATTATACCAAATATTGATATATAAATCCTTAGCTTCCTATAGAAATTTGGACATAAGTCGTAACATGACCTGAAGTCATGTGAAAATGACCAGTAAAGGCCAATGACAGTGACATACGATATGACATATGACTGATCTGAGAAGCCATGAACCCGTGCCAGTGGCCTAAGGAGTCATACCTGTGTAAATAACTTGAGGAGTGATGACTTGTGACAACGACCCGAGGGGTCATGATCTTGAATGGCCCATCACGCGGACATGGCAATGTCCCATGACTGTGAGCTAAGTATGACATGAGACAGAATCCATGGCAAGATCATTATTGTCTGAAGCAATGACTTTAAAATAGCTTTACACATTTATTTCGTGACAACACACTGAGACACTGACCTGGGCAGCCATGACGCGCTGACGCTCGGCTATGAGGTTGCAACGGGCGCAGGTACAGTCCTTAAACTTACAGTGGCGCTTGTGTCCCTTGAGCCAGCTGATCATGCCGTGGTTGCGACAGCGGGCGCACTTGGGCTTGCGGGCGCCCTTCTCCGTGGTAGGGTAGCCCAGTCCCCCGCCACCGCCCACGCCATTCATCTCCACCGTCACCTCCACTACCGCAAGCGCTCACAGTAGTAGCGAGGAAGTTGCGGCGACTCGTGTGGGGGTATATATAGGGAGGAAACACGGGTTAGGTAGACTAGGATGTGTCCACCCAGCGCTGAAGCCTCTACGGGATGTTCTGTGGTGACTGTCAACACTTAGCGGGAACAGACAACAGATCCTTTACTGTTATAACTCTCCTCTTCGTTCACTGTCAGCAGTAAGGGGGCGTTAAGCTGTCCCCTGATATTTCTCTTTTTTCACTAGAGCAGAATTTTCTTGTCCACCAGCTTTCCTCGTCCTAGTACAGGTATGTCAAGTGTTCGAGCACTATTGTTCCAACACTTTTCATAGGAGACACTTCCCTAATGGGTTTCACAAAGGGACGTCATTGACAGTACGATCATTGTTCACACTTTAGTCCAAGGTCGAGCACCTGTAGCCAACGCCTTGACCGTCCCAGGGGTGGTGGAGGGTCCGCGTGACGAATGAACGGCTGTCGCGTGGACCAATTTGTGGTTAGTGTGGCAGTCGGAAGCTTTCATCGCCTAATAAATCATCCCGCCCACCCACAAGTTACTTCAGTCCTCGCCTTGTCACAATAATGGCTTCTTCAGATAGCTCCTCTGGGTGAGAGGCTCTTCAAAAGATCTCTTGACAAAGAATTTTAAGCTTTTTGTAGCTCTATTATAACGCAACAGCAGAATTCGCATATGTCTTTCTTCTTCCAAGGATGGGAGAGCTAGGCCGGCCAATAGTAGCAACTCTTGTGCTTATCTTTCTCCTGATTGGCTCGGTTTCTCCTGAGAGCTAGAAACTCGTGTGGTGATTGGTGGAGAGTTTCCGCTGCCCGGGTGGCAATCAGGGGAAAGAAGAAAGATGTGGAGGGGATACTTTGTCTTTCGCTCGCCACGCGATAAGCCCGTTGCCAGTAGCCGCAAGAAGCTTATTATGTGTTGAAATTATGACCAAGAACTAGAGTTATTAATCGGAAAATGCCATCTAAATATCTAGAAGACAGATATATACTTATAATTTCAAAACAAAACTTACCACAAAACATTTATTTCTGCTGAGCGAATTCATACGAAAACGAGCGCAACTCAATAGAAAACATTTTTGTATATGTACGTCAGTGAGCTGATGCTGTGTAAACATTTCTCATCATGTGCGGCCGCTAGCAAAACACACACCCATCACACGAACAAATGAAAAGTCAAAACCAATAAACTGTGTCGACAGGTCTCGTGTAGATCACCCAAACTCGGTGGATTTGTATGAGAGTTGTGGGATAATCTGTCTATGTGGGATTCGCGCGGGTGAGAAGCTCTTTGTGTCAGGTGGTGGTTGTGGCGGTGACTCTAGTCCCTGTGCCGGGAGACTCACAGCTGGGAACTAGTTAACCAAAAAAATACGGTGACAAGTTTGTTTACTTATCCAGCGGAAGTTTATCAGAATCCCAGTTTGCGTGGACACTCACTTGAGGGATAAATATATTTCTTTTCTGAATTATGAGATGTCCTAAAACAAAACCTTATATCCCAACATTCATCATTAAAGTAATCATATAAAATCTACATAAGAAACATTGTATTATACCAAAGTTTACTCACTGGGGCCCGAAATACTAATAAACAAAAGATTTAGGGACGAGGTATTTAGACAATCAATCAATCATGGTCAAGACCCAAATAAACAGAAACGAGCGTAAGTGGCCCGAGGGTGAGGCGGGTATTGTTACGGGTTCATCCCAACGCTACTGCTCACCCGTGTGACGCCCGAAGTATTGTAGTACGCTAGACAATACTCCTTCACCCACGCTCCTCCCTGGCTCGACTTCGTGCAGGCTAATTATAGATTAAAGGGGTGTGTTCACAGTCGACGCTGGGGGATATATGAGAATGGGGGCAGTTTTATGAATGGGCTCAGGAAGGGAGGAGTAAGCAGTGGTGTGTCTACAAGTTTTAGCAGTGATGAATGGGATGAGTAAGGAATTACACTGTTTAAAGTAAGCTCTTCAAGATAATGGCTGAGTCAGTAGTCGGAGGGGGATAAGTGTGTGAGAATGAGGACCCTTTATGAATGGGTTCAGGTAGGGAGAAGCGAGTAAAGATGTGCGTAAGAGTAAGGGCAACAGTCATTGGGATGACAAAAGAACTGTACTATTTTAAGAAACTACTACAGGATATTTAGATTGGCTCAGCTAATAGTGGGGGGACAGGTAAGAATGGGGACAGCTTTATGAATGGGCTTAAATAGGGAGAGGGAGTGTGTGTTGCTGTGAGAGTAGAGGTTGACTGAGAATTGTAATCTTTATGATGAGTCCTACAAGACACTGGATGAGACACGGTAGATAAATATGGAGAACTATATAAGAATAGGTGTATTCTTATGAACGGGCTCAGCTCAGGTATGGTGAGGGAAGCATAGAGGTGTGGAACAGTAGTAACAGTAAGTGGGTATTCAGTAAGGTGAGTGGTGGACTGCAGGAGATGCTTAGTGCAGGTACTTAAATATGTACTAAGGAGTTGAGTGAAAAAAATAATAAAATAATGTGTGCGAGATAATGACGACACTTTTATGAATGGTGTTTAATGGGCGACGGTAAACGTGAGCACACTAGTAAGAGCAGTTGTCGGATAGATGGATGAGTGGCTACATATACTGTACTTTCAAGAGGATATTTCATGACACTGGAGGGTAGAATTATGAATGAAATGATCGATAAGTGAATAAGATGTGCACTGAAGTAACAACAGTAATCAGCGAGGAGGCGGAGAAAATCATTATATTACACAGTATATAAACTATAAGAATAATAAATTTAAAGACCCTTGCCGTCGAAGCACCTGTATGCATGACGACAACGACAACAACATACTGTATTCAGACAACAACGCAAATAACCACATTTAGCTTGTCTTCGTGAAAATTAATCAGATAGGTTAATTATTTTGAGAGATTAATGATAGTTTAAATAGTTCCTGTGAAGTGTAGAAGAGTTGGTAGCATAAAATTCGGGTTTCACAGTCACCTCTGGTTGAAATTGTCATCGGTGTAAATAATGTAGTGATGTATGTCCTTGGGCTTCTATAAGTGTACTTCGTTGTCTGTTGGTTAAAAAAAATACTCTTTAAGTTATGGTAATTATTGTAAGAACACGTATTATAACCTGTCTGGGTCTGCGATTTTTTTTTTAACGCCAAGTCTTTGTGCTCTGAGGTCCTTGCATTGTTGAAAGCTTGTTCTGGAGTCTTTGTGTTGCAGAGATCAATTGTGGTTGAGACTTTCTGGTCGAGAATCCTTATCGTCGAGACCTTGTTTTGATGAATGTTCCAAAGTCATTTTATTGTTGAATCGTTATGTTACTGATTTTTTGTGCTCCAGAGTCGTTGTGTTACTTAGTTTTTGTGTTCCACTGTCCTTATAAAGATGTGTCTTTGTGTTCCAGAGTCCTTGTATTACTGAGTCTGTGTTCCAGAGTCCTTGTTAACTTCCACTCATGCCTTGTCCTCCTACATGTCTTATAATTGTGGTGTTGTTGGGACCTTCTGAAGCCATACATCTCTTGTGACCATATGGAAGGCGCCTGTATCTGCGGCTACAGGTTTTCACGGGGGAAAGGTCAAACAATAGCTAGGAAAAGAAAACTCTCATCTGATGGAATGGAATTATTCTTGAGTTGTTCAGAAAGTCGAAGAAACTTATTGGGGGAGTTTGATAGACAAGCTCTCCAGGAGGTAGGAAAATAGACAAAGAAGCTTGCCATTATATAAATACAGAAACGTGGTGTATTGGGGTGGTCTCTCACGATTGAAAAAATATAACTTTATTTTTAGTGTGATAAACAAAGAGCTTCGTGGAACCCGACAAAGAAAAGAGATAATAACAAGACGAATAAACAAACTATTAATAAAACAGAAAAAACGGAAACTCTTTTGATTGTTTAATGTTTTATAATATTTATGTTCATCTGATGGACAGCGGGAGACGAAAGGTTTCTTAGCTAATATGAAGTATATATTTTTTCAAATATTTTTATATTTTCTATTGTGCTACAATAACTTAACCATAATCTCTTAATTCTGGAAAGGTTAGAAATAACGTAAAAATAAGGGATATACTACACTTAGGTTAACATTTACGAACAGTACCTCCGAACGTCCTAAGTTGTGTAATTCAAACCTCGTGTTCCTCCCAGGTCTCTGTATGTATCGAAATGTCAATATTATGATCCTCGACATGGTCTGTCCCATCTCGTAATTTATATATCATCTACATAAATAGATTGGGTGCTGAAACTAGTCCAGAAGATGTGGTCTTATATCTCCAAAAACTTATGAAAACTTAATGAAAGAATAATGATCTTTAAATAGCCAGTGTTATCGAAACATACCTGTTGTCGACCTTCTGCTATAGCTGTGACGGAGTGACTGAGGACGGCTCACTGATGATAACTGATCCCAGTCATTTTCATAATATCTCACCAATACACTCGGTGAATATAGTGGTTAGTAATCATCTTCATTGATGATCTTATAATATATTACTAGTAAGAGTATCATAGATGATATTATACTTCAAAGTGTAGAGTTCTCTTTCACTTATAAATATCTAAGACATTTATTCACTTAATACTATTCAAGCCAATTATTCATTCACAACTTCTGTCTACTTTACACGATGGTTACTTGTTATGGTTGAGTTTTTAAGGGAGTTTCTCTTTGATTTTCCTATGCACAGTAATCACACTTACTTTAGACAGAACACTGTAAATCGTTTGAAATTACGTTTCACCTGGTTTTGAAAATTATTATATCAATAGATAAGAGGAAAATTAGCTTAGTGAATGTGTGAATCTGAAATTGTACTTATGTATAAGAACTTCAACAAAGGGATCGGGGGGGGGTAGACACTGTTTAGAGCAGTCCACCACACAAAATATATGTGACCGTCTTGTTGCCAAACATTTATCACAACTCAAAAGTGCCGAGCGACAAAGTGATGGAAATTCTCCCTCGGTCATGTTGTCACTCACTTGATTCATTGCATTATATGTTTTTGCTTCAGGTTGACATCCATTAAAACGCAGTTAGATTCCTTGGTGTTGTCAATGTCACTTGTGTCAACAGGAGCCAGTGGCCTGCACGTCAAGATCAAAGGCCAGTTGGTCAACAACTAAGGGAGAAAACAGGCAGCTGCAGTGTTAGTCCATATCACCACGTATGTAAACACTTGACAACAGAGCTTTTACGAAATCTAAATTTAACAACACAAGTCGCTTCAACGAATCATGGTACACGTGTTCTTATGTTACTTGGCCAAGGCCCTTAGTGCTTCACCTTGGTCACAGCCCGGGCGAGGCTATCTTGTTCTTCATAGTCGATTTCCGCAACAGTAAAGAGTTATCTCCCTAGGGCCGGGAGGCTGCTGCATTAATATCTTAAAACAGTAAACAATAGTAACTTTTATGACAAACGAACCAACTTAATTTAATGATCACAGAATGTTTTTCTTGGGTTGAGTTGTGTTG